TGTTGGCTTTCAAGAAGCTGGATGATCATTTTAAAGAATTCTAAAAGTATTTATTCAAAGTATTTTGTGGTAGAATTTGTCTTCTATATAAAGAAAAAATGATTTTAGTATAAAAATAATAGAAAATAAAACTAAGGAAATACATGATGAATATTGAGAGATAAATAAGTTAATATTATTTATAATATTTACATTCAGACTATTGTCCTGATCTTTGTTGCTGTTATCACAGTGTTTCAGCTGTAGGTTACCCTTCATCAGGGTAACCTAATTTTGAACTGAACCCTTTATTTAATCTACGGGATAGACTTTTCTCATTCCACTGCCCATGTCTAGGTATATCTTATCTACTTCTTATATTTAGTGCTGATTAGTTATTGATTTCCTGTTTCTACTGAATTCAAGTATACATTACCTGGCCCAGGGATTGAATTCACAATTATTATGTCACCAAATTTCTGAACCAATGCTTTATTCCACTAGTCTATTGTCCCATAGGAATTCTCTGTAGTAAACTTGGAGCCTTAATCGTAATCTGTCTGCTGATTAGTGCTGTTGCTGCTTGTCATGTTTGGCTGCTTCTGCTGAAGACTTGCTCTCATTTGTCCTCCTTTCTTTATTAATGATTCCCATATTGTATTTATTTCTATGCTAGGCCAATTAAGGAGGTCCTCATGCTAGGCTATGAGGACCTCCTAGTTGGCCTAACATGATGAGCTCCTTTGTAGGCCTAGCATTGTGATAGATGAGGACAATAGTCTGAATGTAAATAGTATAAATAATGATAACTTCTCCTCCCAAAAATTCAGACAGAAACAAGTCAATTTCACAAAAAGCTTATTCAATCTGTCCTTTTTAACTGTTTTTTAATCATTTCACCCTAAGCAAGGCAATAAAGCCACTAATATGTGAGAAGTTACTGAGCGTGAAAAAATATGAAAAGAGAAAAACATTATTAAGGAGAGAGAACAATAAAAGAACAGGAATTAAGAAAACAGAAGATAACAATTGACATTACATTTAATTTTTTTTAAGATCAAAGTTAACTGGAAAGCAAGCGGCTAAAAGAGAGTTCCACAAGCAAGAAGTGCAGGTTAAACTGTTAGCATAGAACTTACAGTTACATTTAACCAATTCAACTGTAAAATGATTAAACCTTGTTGTCAATCTAGTACTGCACTTAAATTCATAAGGTCTAGGTACCATAGAGGAAAGTTAAACAGAATAATTACCATAAAAGTATTTATAGAAAAAACACAAGAAAGCTATGTTAAGGTGGTGGGAAAGGGACTGAAACTGAGACACTGGGTCAGGACCAATAACATTGCAGATTCTTCTTTGTATTTTATCAAGAATCTCTAAATACATTGCAGAAGCACTAGATCAGATGTGCCAGTAATATTCAATGCATGGATAAATGGTAGATTTATAAATGTGTAAGATAGATTCTGGTGAGAAAAATTGTCTAGCATGACACTGTGAAACAACTTTGCTAGCAGCAGAGCTAGCTTCATGAAAATCAAATATTATTCACTGCTTTTCAAGTTTTGTTTAGACAGTCATATACAGAACATTGATCAAAGATTAATAGTCAGTAATCCATTTCATTCATGACTTGGATTTGCAAAGATTTTAGAGGTGATTCATTAAAGAACTTTTGATGGCTAATAAGACTTACGTAGAATCCCAGCAGAAAAAGTTTGGAATCCAGAAGGGGAACTAATTTTAAAGCATTGCTTTCTCTCTTCAGCACTCATTCTGCAGATTGCTTTAGATAGAGAAGTTGCCTTGAAAATTTCATATCACTATGTCTTTCTCTTGACAATTTCTGTTGTTCACTGACAGTTGTTGCTTGAGTCCATAATGGATGAAGGTCTTTTAAAGAAGTTCCAATATCATTTGTGATATCCTACTGATTAGAGATCAGTTCATTTATCCGAAGGATAGACAATAATCTCCCATCTTCCATATGTGACCTACTTACTACAGATATGTCTTTTGTAAAATATATTCAAATATTTTGTTTTGAGAACTTGAGTGTTTGGGTACAGATTGAAGGAAGAGAAAAACAACAGATAACCTACATAATGAGTTTGAGCAAATGGATATCAGAACAATGTTTAAGTGATATAACAAAAAACAAGAGCTACAAAACAAAAAATTGTGGAGAGCCATGATTACCAACATCCTGAAGGAACATGGCATATAGAACAAGAAGAAGAATGAAGTGACTTTGACATACATTGATAATCATACTGAGATAATGTAAATTGAAGTATTTAATAAAACATAGTAGAGCTGGCAATTTATACAGAATTCAATTTGATAAAAAAATTAGTAGACACCTCATATTTTTTTCACAGCAAACAATCTAAAATGGTGCAGCCACTTGGGGATGCCAGTCTACAAGGGTGGCTAGCTAATCCCTGATACAGACGCCTGCTCAGGCACATTTGTGTTTGTTCAACACCCACAGAGCCCACCTGTAGTTTATACTGCAACTATGCTGAGTGGACCTTAGTTACAATTTCTGGAAGAGAGCACATGATCAACATTTTGAACAAGGCCAGCACACTCAAATCCTCGGTCACAACTTGTGACTTCATGCTAGCACAACCACTGATGGCTCTCAAGGGTTCTGTCTACCAAATTTCACTAACAAGGCTTGGGTCAATTTGTGGTAAATTTTTCAGTCACTTTCCAAAGAAGCCGCATGCTGGAATTGCCTCCTCCAGACCAATAACATCGGCTAATCGACCATGGTGAGATTTGAAGTCAGATCTCATGGTCAGAAAGCAAACATTCTAACCACTCGGCCATATGACCATACACAGCAAACAATAATAATGTATAAATTATAAATTTCTGACTAGTGATTTTTTATTGTAGTTCTGTTGAATTTTATCACAGATTTCAAGTCATCATTTCAGAAATATTAGTAACTGTTGTATTATGAATAAATAATATGTTTACAGTAAGATCTAAATTCATATCTTCTATACACATTGAGTTTGTCTTTTCAGAGCTGCTGCTTTATTAATTAGGCTAACTCATTACAGTAATTTGAATCAAGCTAAATACCTAAAATAAGCTTGCAAAGATATTCATATTTGCATTCCTTCTCATTGTGGAGTATAAATCTGGAAATTGTGATTTAAGTTAAACAAGTAAAATGAACACTATTTACATTATTCGGACTATTCTCCTCATCTTTGTCGCCATGTTTATCACAACGTTTCAGCCATTGTACACTCCAGCCTTCTTCAGGTGGTTGGAATGTCGAACTGAACCCTTTATTCCACTTACTGGGGTAGACTGCTTTAGTTCCACGTGCCATGTCTAATGGATGTCAGTTATCTCCTGTTTGACATTCCAACCATCTGAAGAAGGCCAGAGTGTACAACGGTGAAACGTTGTGATAAATATAGCGACAAAGATGAGGACAATAGTCCGAATAATGTAAATAGTGTACATAATACCTCATCTCAGAAATATAGACAGATACTGAAATAAAATGAAAGAAAGAAATATGAAAAAATATTCATCATTTTTTTTTTACTTTTTTATCTCCGCTAAACCTTATTGCACCATCTATTTACTTAAGCTCACTAGGTAGGTTATGCATTGTTTTCTTCTAGCCCTCTTGCCTTCAATCTCTCCTGTGAATATCAAATTTTCCAAAGCTACTTTCCTTATTACATTCCCTAGAAATTTTAACTATCTCTTCTTGATTTTGTTTTCCATTTCTCTAAAACTTCATCATTGCTCACATGTTTGGTCCATGGTATTCTCAGCATTATTCTGTAGAACCACATTTCTGCTATGTCAAGTCTCTTCTTCATCTGTGAGAAGGCTTTCCTGATTATGTGTCCAAGGAGTTTCAATTTCTTCCTAATTCTGAGCATGTGTTCTTTTTGTTGCCATTTTTGTTAAAATTTCCTTCTTGCTTACTCCCTCCATACATGGAATTCTCAGTATCCTACTGTAGAACCACATTTCTGTTGCTTCCATTTCTCTCCTCATCCATGGGAAAACAGTCAACAATTAATAATAATTTATACATTATTATCATTTTCAGCAATATTCTTGCTTACTGAAGACTAAGACCAGTAAATTTATCGTCATTGTGTCAAAAATCATTCTGTGTTCTTGTGCCTTTGTGTATAACTCTTATAGAAGTCAACAGCATTTAATGGATTCTCTGTAAGAATGTAAAGATGTTTTTGAATTATCACACAAATGTTTAGTTTCCTGATCTTCTAAGAAAAATGATTGATCTGTTTTTTTTATGGCTTATCAACTTTTTCCAGGTTATTAAAAGCCAGAAAATATCTTATATTGTAAGAGTTTTTTGGAGATAATAATGATTTACTGATACAAGTCATACTAATTAACTCATACCTAAGGGGACAAGAAGTGGACACATACCATTCACAAGGATATTTGTGTGTAAGTGAATATAACAAATCCAACTGGAATTGGAAATTGGTTCTCCAAGTTCCAATTCCAAGCTATCATCTGTCAGAACACCCACACATCCAAACTTATAGTACTTGGTATACCCAAGTGGTCACCCATCTAGGATCAACATTGCTTAACTTCAGTGACTGTATGGGAATCAGTGTTTCAACATATGGCCTTATGCCTTGACAAACAATCAACTGATCAATTTGTTTATTTACAGCTTATCAACCATTTGTCGGTTATTTAAAGCTAGAACTCATATTTTTAGATTTAAGAATTGTTTGGGAATAGTAATGATTTATTGATACAAGACCTATTAACTCATAGCTGGATAAAGAAGAGGTGGGTTCATGCTTTTTTTTAAGGGTATTTGTGCATAAGTGAATATAATGAATCCAACTGGAATTGGAACTCAGCTGTCTGATTTCCAATTCCAAGCCATTATTCATTATACCACCAATACATCCAAATTTACAGCAGATTTCTCAGATTTCTAATTCCAAAATATTATCCATTACACTACCCACAGATCCAAGCTTACAGCACCTGGTGTTCCCTAGTGGTCATCCATCTTAGTACTAATCAGGCTTGACATTGCTTAACTCAGTTATCATATGACAGCCGGTGTTCCAACATGATATGGCCATAAACCTTGACAAATAATCAACCCATTTAGTTTTTACAGCTTATCAACCTTTCAATATGGCCATAACCTCTCAAAAATAAGTGAGAAGATAAAAGTTTGCTTAGATGATATAAAAAAAAGTAATTTCTTTCTTCCATATATGTTTCGCTATATGTTACCTGATGATGACAGGAAATTCAACCATCAAAATTGTTATGATGAATGGATAAGGACATTGGTTCATAGAAATTCCTCTGGCGCCGTGATACCTCATCCCATTTACTCATAAAAATCTCTTCTGATTATATTTCCTGGCTGTAGTTTAACATATTAGAAGGTCTATCATTAATTTTTATTAGATGCAACATTGTCAACCATTATTAATTTCTGATTAGTATTTCATTCACCTAAATTTTAGTTGCTTTTCATTGAAACTACTCGGATCTCAGAGTGACTGGAAAGTTGAAAGTGTATTTATTTCTGATCCAGTGTTTAAAAGTCACCATAGATTGATAGTTTGAATAATTACAATGAAAAGCAATTAAAATTCAGATGAAAGATATCCTAATCAAAGATCCATAATAGATTTTAAAAGTTCAACTGTATAATCAACTTTTGCATCAGATTCAACTGTACACCCAGTTTTTGTTTCAAATAGCAATTCTCTCAGTTGAAGTAGGTAAAACTTAGCAGAGATGATTGCAAATAAGGTTTTATTTATCCTTGAATATACAACCTTTTTCATGTTGATAATAATAATAATCAGACATGAGTAAATTATTTAATTTCTATTGCTTCACTTTTTATTCTTGGAAAGTATTTGGGCAATAATTTAAGGTGCATTTAAAATATTGTTCAGACAGGTTGTTTGTATTATTGATATTATTGATGTTGTTAACAGTTCAACTGATTCATCCTCCAATCACCGATCTGATCTTGTGTCCAATGAGGAGCCATGCATCCTCCACACCATCACTCAGTACCATGTCCACTGGTTTGGTCATGTCCTGCAACAACCTGATGACCACCTCACCAGAGACCACTACCAATTTGCTATATACAAACTGGAGATGACCTCACAGCAGACCACACAGCCTCCAGAAGGACATTGTCCACCAGGACATCCAGTAGATCTCAATCTAGTGCTGGAATATATTTCAGCATTCTGCCAAGAGTTTGAGGGATGGAGAGACATGGGTTTCATCAGATCAATGCCTTCAAGGCATGAGATTTAGCAGTAGCAGCATTCTCCAACCATTGTTATGTTTATAATCCATAAGAAAAGGGAGAAAAAAATTATTTCTTCAAAAAGTGTCAAACAACAAAAAGTTCTTGTAAATAAACAATCTAATAAATAAATAGTGTTTAATATTTTTGTTGTAAATTCTCAAGAACAAAAAAAATTCACTTAAGTTTTATTCCAATTCTAATCATTGCTTTTTAAAACAATAGACATTGCCAAAGAGTGAAAGCAGTATAAAAACAGTGTCATGGGAAAAAAATATCCTTTTGACATACTGTCTTATTGCAGGCACGTTTGTCCATGTTTGCCTAAATTTGTATATGCATCACAAAAAATAGTATATCCTTAATTTTTCAAAAAAAAATATTTCTTATAAAAACATCATTCTAATCTATTTATTACTATTCTGCTCTATTACAATCTTAACCTGTCCAAATCTCAGGTTAACTGACCTTCCCCGCATAACTGTGCCTCTTATTCTGTCCTTGTACAGGTGAATATTATTGTAAAAAAGTTTTTTTTTTTTTAATACAATAATTCTTACATTTCATGGTAAAAAAATCAACATAATGATATCCTTGATTAATATTAATTGTATCAAATATGCTTAAAGTCTGTTGAAGATCTGATGGTAATAGTAATACTAACCATTTCCTTATAAGGAAACATTTGGCATTTATTGACCAAACAGCTTTTACTACTGCTGGTTGAAATTTATAAAATCTTTCTCTTAAAACAATTTTTCAGGAAAATAGGTTTCTTAAGTCCAGCAGCTCTTATTGCTCTTTCCAGTATTAATGGGGGTTTCCTTCCTAGCCTTTTGTTTGAAGTATTGTAGAACATCAACATTCTTGATTATATCATTATTTTCTATTCAAGTTACATGTTTTATATATTTTGCTGTTGCTGAAAGTCCTCAAATCTTGTGGTTTCTCTTATCTAGTACAGTTCTTTGTGGTTCTAAAGCACTAGTCCACAATATTCAAAGAAGTGTGGTCTTCACCAAGATCCATAGGCCTCACTTGCCCAAAACCATTTTTAACCATTGATCTGAGAAAGTGGTTGTATATAGCTGTCAGTTTAGATATTTCTGAATGGATTTAGTGCCTTGTATAACATCTATGAAAGTCTTGATCTGACAAGGCTATTTAAGAAAATGACTTGAGTTTTTGGGTTAATGCTTTGGTTTTGTAACAAATTGTGGTGTTGTGTGGAACTACTTTTAGCACAGCCTATTCTAAATTCAATTTCCTTATCTTCTATAGTAAAGTTTTTATAACTGATCCATACACCAAAGTATTTGAAGTATTTACAAAATACACATCTGGAATTTTTACGATGGATTCAGGGTAAGTGCCATCACTGCTTTCATTACAATTCCAGAGCATAGTTTTTGTCTTGGTCTATCTTGAGTCCTACTTCTTAGAATACTTGGTAGAGGATATATGTTCAATGGTTAAAAATGGTTTTGAGCAGGTGAAGCCTGTGCATCTTGGCAAAAAAAATGACTAAATTTCTTCAAACCTTGTGGATTGGCACTACAGAATCTCAAAGAATTGTATAGAAACAACATCACTTGATGACATTCAACAACAGCAACAGTTAAAATGGATATCACATTTAACTCAAAGAGAAAATAATGACATAATCAAGATAATGATATTCCATGCTATTTCAAATAAAAGGTTAGGAAGGAAACCCCTATCAATAATAGAAAGAGTGAAAACAGCTACAAAAAATTTGTTTTAAGAGAAAGATTTTATAAATTTCAACTGATAGTACTACAAGCTGCTCAATCAATGAATGATGAATGTTTCCTTATAAGGGAACGGCTAATATTACCGAATGTTTTTGTTTCCCTCATGAAATATTTTCTTTTCATCTGGTCATTAAAACATATGCAGGGAAACACTTCAAACAATTGAACAGCAAGTCTTCAATGATAAGTCATCAAATAAACATCAACATGTGCAAAAAAGAAAAGTGCTTTTCATATTTGTTGCAAACTTAAAAATTTATATTTTAAATCATTTTCTTATAGGGAAAACAAAAAAGAACAACTTAATTCTTTGTATTTTAATTCATTTTCTTATTGGAAAAACAACAAAGGACATTGAATAATTATTTAAGTTCTAAAAGAAAAAAAAATTGGATCAAATCCATGCTTACAAATACAAATATCTTTTTTTAACCTTTTCTTTAAAAGTAATTTTCAAGTAAATTTGACATATCATATTAGGTCCATACTGAGTCAGTAATTTCTGTCTGAATTTCAGGGATGAGGAGTTATCTATATATATATATATATATATATATATAAATTAAATAATTAAGAAAAAGACAACCTTAAGGTTCCATGACTATAATTTATTTCCCCACAAAACATATTTTTCCTGGTTCATCAGGTCACATCTGGAGTTACTAGGTAACTATTATATATATCACATCTCTAGTTAATGTGACCTGATGAACCAGGAAAAATATTTTTCTGGGGAAATAAATTAAGTAATAGAACCTTAAGGTTGTCTTTTTCTTAATTATTTAATTAATATTTGCTCTGGTGTTACATTGTGCGCTCTGGATTACATCCTCCTTGGAATTATCCACATGGATTACCAAACCTTCTTCTACCTTTTTATATATATATATATATATATATATATATATATATATATATATATATATATATATATATATATATATTGTAGCAAAGAAAATAGCGAATTACCTTGTCAAACCAAGCAACAGCTGTTTATGTGTACTGGGATTTTTAACATTGGACCTTTGATTCGTGATTGCAACATTTCTTTCTGTCCACTGGATCTACAGTATTTGAACTTTTGAATTATTTGCTTTGAACTTGAGCTACCACATCAAATTTGCTATATATATATATATATATGTGTGTGTGTGTGCAAAATTTCTGAGATAATTAAAAGGACAATGTGAATAATAAATTTTCAGGTAATCGATCCGTTGGTATATAATCCAGGTGGATCCTAGCAATATTAATAATTTTTTAATAATATATATATATATATATATATATATATATATATAAAAGTGAACATTGAAGTCAACATTCAGAGATGACAGGCTGTTTCATGCTCGACATGAAACAGCCTGTCGCCTCTGAGTGTTAACTTCAATGTTCACTTTTATATTTACATACTCTCTATCTCTGATATTGAGCACTTTTTCTTATAAATATAGCACACCTTAAAACTATATATATATATATATATATATATATATAAAATCATTTCACCCCAAGCAAGGAGATAACTACTAAGATGCAATGGGTTACTAAGAGGGAAAACAATAGAGGAAACATTACTGAAAAGAGACGATAAAAGGAACAAGATTCAAGGAGACAGAAGATGATACAGCATTTAAATATTTGAAAATTATAGTTGACAGGAAAGCAAGAAGCTGAAAGAGAGTTCTATATGCAGGAAGCAAGAGAGAAGACACTATTACAAAAAATTACGGTTATATTTATAATTTCAAAAGTAAAATAATGAGATCTAACTGTCAATCTAGTACTGCACTCAAATTCATAAAGTCAATGTACTAAAACACATCAGAAAAATTGCCATAAAAATATAGAAAAATCAAAGAGAAACTATGCTATGGAAAAGTGATTGAAACTGAGAAGCTAGGTTATGTCAATAATATTGCAGTCTCCTCACCTTTGATATTATCACATTTCAACTTGGCCTTTCCTCAATCTGGCCAATGCCTTGATTGATAAGCCTGGTGGAACTAACTTTATGCCCT